AAGCCAGGTCTACCACCATACTATAAAACTTTATTAAGTATTGCTACTATAATACTCACAATAATTTGTTAAGTGATCTGAAAAAATAGTTTACATTTTTATTGCTCAATTTTTATATTTATCTCTTAAATATGCAGAAATTAGAGATACTTAGGCTAAGGCGTTATTGTTGATTTTTGTTTCTGTGTTATCAATATCATTTTCTAATTAGTTCTATCATAAAAACATGAAAAATCTTTAAACCTGCAAAACCTGAGCTTTTAAGGTCAATGAAAAGTTGAAATTTGTGTACCTTACAGAAAACCACTAGAAAACGCACAAAATTTCGCTTTTCTGTTTATTTAAAGACAAAACATTATATTTAAAATCTATAATATATTTCAACCAAAATTTTAAAATTGATGACAAAGAACAGTGGAAGTGTGTAGATTTGCGAGATTGTGTAAATACCACTGTGACTGCCACCAAAACATAGTTTCAGGAGTATAACTAGTCTTTTTAACCGACTTTAAAACTAGGGGACGAATGTCTTTTGAGGTCGGTTTTTTCCTACATGCTTGCTTCTCCAACAGAAACCAATAGTGTCAAAACAGAAACAGAACATTTTCTAAAATGTATTTGTTCTAGATTAAAGTTTATCTAGGTACATTTTTACGTTTATTTACTTATTACGTTCTTAGTCTTTTGTAAAATTCCTAACCACTTCCACATTATCCGCAATACCAGAATACGATGGAACCTACTGAATTATGTGGTGGAAGTGATTAAATAATTCATATATAATAATAATAATTATAAATAATAAATTTATTTGCCGTAATAATAATACAACAAGCATAGTGTATAGTAAGTATCAAAGAATCAGTAGATATGACCGATCTGTCTATCTATTTTGGTGTAAATCGATAAAAAAGCTGTTTATTTAAAAAGACATTTGGCTGACAAATAAGAGTGCAATATTTAGGATATTGGAAAGGTCTACTAATATATCATGTATATCCACGATTAAGGGAGTGGCCAAACGTATAAATGTGTAATCGCGTTAGCCTTCGCTTTATTGCATGGACATAATGCTTTTTCTTAAAAAACTCAAGCCGAATCCATTTCATAGTGTAACCTAACGCATGTCTCTCCTGAGTGCGTTGTATTCGATTAAATTCAAATAACCTATTCTCTCTTTTTAATACTGATATGATGGCCAGCAGCAGGCTTCAACATGACTCCAAGTTTCAGTTGTAATTTCGTATGATCTCCTTTGATGCAATACCGTCGTATGACGTGCGCAAGAGTTGTTTTCATCGACATCATAGCGTATGTTTTACCTGTAAAGATAATACAATCAATATATGTATAATATACGAAATACTTAGCGCGATATTAGTCTTATACTTATTAATTGGTTTAAGACAGTCAGAAACCTCCCTATTTGTATTGGAATAGATACAATTAAACATACAAAGACATGGCTTGTGGAAATTTCTTCATTGCAGTGAGGCTAACATTTGTCACAGTACAGCTCCCTGTGACAGGGTTCCTCCAAGGAAGTATACTTACTACCACCTTACCTATCTTTACCGCAAAGCAGTAGCGTGAGCATTACTGCGTTCCGGTTTGGAAGAGTACTGGTGAAATTACAGGCACGTGGGACTTGTCTTAAGCTTTCTACACACCGAGCCCGCATACCCGGCGACACAGCCCAGTTTGGTGTCGGCGGCCTTGTTTCCAGAATCATGTCATAAGATTAGATTAGTTGTGTCGCCGGGTCGGCGTGCTCGATGTGTAGAAAGCTTTAGGGTGACGGGCGGGATGGGGTATCCATAAAGATTTCCCCCCGTCAAAAATAAAAGGGTGACGGGCGCAGTGGCACTGCCCCTCAGATCTTTGCGACTTAAAGCTCTGAGTGGCACTGCTATGGGCAGGCGTGTCGCTTACCACCAGCCGCACTACTTGTTCGTAAACTAAAAGCCTTCAAGGCAAATACCCATTTTCGAAGACCGAGTCTATGTACAGCTGCTGCAGCAGAGTGAGGCACTCTTGTGGCATTACAGCCATTACAGGTTCACAAAACAATACATGGCAATTGGCATCCTATCAACTTAGGAGTAGCAATTACCGAAAAATAAAAAGGAGACCTGTGCTCACATTATAAGTTGACAAGTTTTCTTGTACCTACTTAACGAAATTTGAAACTCGGCCTTTATACATTCTATGTGAACAAAACGATAGCGTGTTTCAACTCTATCTTAATACCATCTATCGGTAATACATTTAAATTTTCGCATTCAAATATGGATGCTATATTTCGTACGAAACAACCTCAAGGAAGCGGTCAATAAAGTTCAAAAAGCCATTAACCAATTCCATGAGTGGATCAAGAAGTGGCGAATAAAGCTAAGTGAAACTAAATCAGTTCACATTGTCTTCAGGTACAAAAAAATTTACTACTCCACTGTACATTGGAAACAAACCCTACGCAAATACCGCCAAATATCTCTGTATGACCCTCGACGTGAAGCTATGCTGGAAAACTCACATTAAGAAGAAAAAAGAACATTTAGACATTCGTTTAAAGAAAATGTATTTGCTATTTGGCAAATGCTCTTCGCTATCTGTGTGCAATAAAATATTATTGTATAAACAGGTCCTTATGCCACTGTGGACTTATGGTATCTAGCGGTTTTAAATATCAGTTATGTCCAATACCACACAGTAATTAAAAATCCCAGTAGTAATGACATCACTTACAATGATTCAGATAGATCTGTCAGTTAAGACTGATTTTTTAATAAGATCTGTATTTTTATCATTAAACTCGTATTTTATTTTATTCCCTTTTGATGGCGGCAATAAACAAACAGTGATTTTTTATTCCATTTGTTAGCACTGTTAACTACCGGAATATTTAAACTTCCATTTGTCGCCAGTGGCAACAACAGATTTTTTTTATCCCGTTTGTCACCACTTGGTAACATATGGGTTTTTTCCCCATTTGTCGCCAAACAGTGGGAACAAAGCCAGTGGTGACGACTGTAGTGTAGTCTTGTAAAATAGCTAGATTGTAAACAATTAGTTGTAGTTTTGTTTTGTTTTATAACAAATTTAAAAAAAAAATTTGCATAATGTCACCATAGATTCTTGTAAATTGATTTCAACGTGTTTTCTTTAGAAAATTTAGAATTTGTGAAATTCTAAGCTTGATAATGAGGCAAATATATCATGTCATGTTTCAGTGCTTACACAGGTTTTCTCTGAGTAATAGTCCATCACGCTGACTCGATGTAGGTTGGAGATTCCACGTTTTTGAAGAGTTTTGAACAGGTTGGTATATGTGTGTATACGCATATATGTTACTCTGCTGGGCCTATGCCCATTACAGGTTGAGAGAGAGGCTCTCAGAGAGCTCGGCGATAATGAAGGTGGATGGTAGTTTTGGGTAAGTAAATACAAATGGCATTCAAAGCACTTAGGAGTAGCCATTATCGAAAAATATAAAGAGACGTAGGGTTTTTCACTTTATAAAACCTCGATAACAAATTCGAATATAAATTCTATGTGTGAACAAAACGATAGCGTGTTTTAACTCGATCCTAATGCCATCTATTGGCAACAAAAGTTACTGTATTAAATTTAAATAAAATATTCAGCTTAATGAAGCTAATTAGGCAAAATTTTCAATTACCGCGTTCAAAAATAGATGATACTTTGAGTTGCAACATTCCAAGCTTAATAATGAGGCATCAACACATTCATATATTATGTTTCAGTGCTAGAGAGGAGACTCCACGTTTTTGAAAAGTATTAAACAGGTGAAAATTTATTAACAATTTGAATTTAAAAACTTTGTGGTTCGTAGCCATGGACAGACATGAATTCGCACCGGTCTGCATAGAAGTCTAGCATTTTCCGAACTAGTTCATGCTTGCTTCACTTGGATACGTCTGAACCTATAGTAAGTTGAATCTAGTTTGTATATTTACTTTTGTCATTAATGTTGATGATAGTCGGTACCCCTACCTTACACAGTGCCGTTAAAATGTACAGGGTCAAGAGCACGTCAAGCTTGACACTTAAGACTTAAATCCAACTCTATGCCGCTTACGATAAGAACGGTCCAAAGTATAAAGTGTCAAGCTTGACGTGCTCTGTAGTGTACGAAATTTAATTCTATTTTATAGTTGCTTTTGAAAGCGTGCGGATTGAGGGCTTATAAGAAAGTACGTATTTTAAAAAGGCACTAATCGATTTGTATTAAAAGACGATAATTTAACAAAACGACCACCTACTTAAAACTAGTACACGAATATTACATGCAATGCTTAATAGGTGCTTTTCTAGATCTGACTGGCCATCTGTGAGAACTGAGTGAGCACACATTATTATTATTTATCTTTTGTTTCATCGTTTTACAAATCGAGCATAAGTTTAATGGGTTTCTCCAAATGGTTTCAGAACTTCTACTACAGGTGCACCGCGTAACTGAGGCGGTTTCTAAGGCAGCTGCGCGATACAGGAGGAGTAATTGTTGTGTCGCGCTGCACACGGGGTAATTTTAACAAGATTTTTTTTGAGGATATTAAATTACAAGTTGATTGAAACAAGTGCCAAAAGGCTGGTCTATTATTTACTTATATTGCGCGTAAATAATTATATCCAATGTATTGCTCCACAAAGTTTACTAAGATCTTAAATAACATATAGGCCCTTATTATATTACCCTGTAATGGCATAATAAATACTACATACTTACTGTGTATATCGTCGAGGATAGTGCAAGAAGTATGTAGTATTGGTAAAAAGCGCATATCTGCACCAAACCAAATTTCACAAGAGAGGGATTTAAAGTTATTACTTTGTTATTTCAATGCCTACGACTTTCATTTTTGCACAGTAAGCATTAATTTATATTGTCTACGGACTGATAACAATAGATTCCCGTCAATCAAACTAATTTGGTTGCCACGACATTTACGCGGATGTGATTTGACGACTAAATTACCGAAATGGAGACTCATAGTCAAATGCTAGTTATGGGTAATCGCACTATCCGCGACGATTTGTTATCGCCAATGTATGTAACCCGGTATTCTTTAACTTTTTCATATACCTACTAACCTAACCAAAACCCATAGGAGGAGGTAAACGAAAACAGAAATAACTAAATTGTTTTTTTTTGTAGTTCATTTAATACGTTGCTAAATCTACGGCCGGCATTCTATACAATATCTAGGCATTGACCTAGACAATGACCAGGAAATATGTATAAGAGTAAAAAAAAATTAAGTATGAAACGAGTATACGTTGCCTAAAGAAGCCCGGTATTATATAGAGCGACTAGGCATTTCTATAGAATCCCTGAATTATACACATTGACGTTAACATACACACATACATAATACATACTCATACGGCAAAGAACATTAGGAAAAAAAATTTGTATCAAATACTCGAAAAATAATACATACTTGCCGTATACATTTTCTGATAAGACGTTTACATTTTGCACGAGAACCAAAAATGTTATGTATAACAAACGATATCCCGCTGCGCTGTATCTATCTGTACCCGCCCAGCAGAGTAACATCCTAGGTTGTGAGTGAACTGGATGATAATGAAGGTGGATGGTAGTTTAGAATAAGAATAAAATGGCATCCTAAAGATTTAGGAGTAGCCATGATCGAAAAATATTATGAGACTAGCTCATATTACATAAGTTGACAAGTTTTTCCCATTTGTACCTACTTAACAAAATTCGAGTCTCGAGCTTTATACATTCTATGTGAACAAAACGATAGCGTGTTTTAACTCGATCCTAATGCCATCTATCGGCAATAAATTGTACTATAATAAGTATTCGGCATAATTAGACAAAATTTTAAATTTTTGCGTTCAAATATGAATGCTATATTTTGCATGATGTCACCACAGATTCTTGTGAATTGATTTGAACGTGGTTTTTTTAGAAATTTAGAAATTGTAAGATTCTAAGCTTGATGAATGATGAGGCAAACATGTCATGTTTCAGACACAGGTTTAGCAGGCTGACTCGATGCGGGTTGGACACTCCACATTTTTGAAGTGTTTTGGACAGATAAATTTGAATTGTTATTTTAAATTTGATAATATTTGTATTGTTTAGGAATTTAAAAAACTTGTGGTTCCCGATAGTCAGACTTGAACTCGCATCCGTCTGCATAGAAGTCTAGCATTCTACGTACTTGTCCATCATTGCTTCATTTGGATACTTCTGAACCTAGATAAGATGAGTCTAGGTTGTAATAAATATGTTCTGTCATGGTCGCGATTTTATGTCCTGTGCCTTGTTGAGGACATTTTTGTCGAAGGAAGAATCACATTTGAATGTATAAGCCTTATTTTTAAAAGGTAAAATAATATTAGTTAGTTTGTAGGAAGTCGTTCCTTTTGAAAGCGTGGGATTGAGTGAGCATATGAAAGCATTTGTAAACATTTTAAAAACTGCCTCCATGGCCGACCGGTTATATTGCCGGACTGCCATGCAGAGCTCCCAGGTTCGGTTCCCAGGCCAGGAGAAATATTTGTATGGCCTACATTTATTTCTCTTGTGAGTTTGGGTGTCATTTGTGGTTGTCTATGTGTTTGTCCATGGCACCCGCGACACATGTTTTCCCTAGTGCGGGGCTATGTTGAGTGTGTGTGTTATTATATTATTATAGTCGCCTTTCACTAATCGATTTGTAGTAAAAGACGATAATTTAACAAAACGACTACCTACTTAAAGCTAGTACACGAATATTACATGCAATGCTTAATAGATACTTTTCTAGTTATGACTGGCCCTCTGTGAGAACTGAGTGAGCACACATTACGTTATTTATCTTTTGTTTCATCTTTTTACAAATGACAAGGTAGAGTCGGTTTCTGAGGTAGCTGCGCGGTGCAGGTGGTGTAACAGTTACGTCGCACTACACACGGGGTAATTTTAACAATTTTTTTTCACAATATTCAATTACAATTTGATTCTAAAAAGTGGCAAATAGCTGGTCTATTATTCAACCATATTACGCATATTCAATCCTGTCCTGATTAGATTTGTTTATTTTTGCTTGTTGTGTGTATTATTATCACTCGTAACCAGTAAATAAATAGTTAGATTAAGATGTTTGTTTTGTTGTAGACATTTTGTTCAAAATTATATTCCGACAATGTCCGACAGAGAACACAGGCGGAGGCTGAAAAAGAGCAATATTCTGAGGCTTCGTCCTTTTCACCACTCATAGCTTATAATTTGATAGTACATAAATCGTGTGATTTTCTATGTATATTTCATAAATAAAGTCCTTTTTAATTTATAATTAAATTCATTGTGTTGCTCCATACAAAGTTTACAAAGATCCATATTATGTATGCATATGTCATCGGCAATGTATGTAACCCGGTATTCTTCAGCTTTTTCGTATATTAAGCTAACCAAAACCCACAGGAGGAGGTAAACTACACTTTAGTATGTATTCCATCCAGGAAGTAAACGCAAACAGAAATTACTAATTTGGTTTTTTTTTACATTCTATACAATGTCTAGGTATTCCACATAATGCCTAGGAAATGTGTATAATAGTTTATAATATACGTTGCCTACAGAAAACCGGTATTACACATATAGAGCGACTAGGTATTCTATAGAAACCCTAAATTATACATATTTCCGTTAACATTATACGTCCTCATACATCAAAAAGCATTACAAAAAGAAGTAATTGTAAATACTCGAAACAATAAATAGCCGTATGGTTGGTAGTTTTGGGCAAGTATAAATGGCATCCTAAAGACTTAGGAGTAGCCATTATCGAAAAATATTATGAGACTAAGCTCATATTACATAAGTTGACAAGTTTTTCCCATTTGTACCTACTTCACAGGATTCGAGTCTCGAGCTTTATACATTCTATGTGAACAAAACGATAGCGTGTTTTAACTCGATCCTAATGCCATCTATCGGCAACAAATTGTACTATAATAAATACTCTTCATAAGCAAAATTTTAATTTTTGCATTCAAATATGGATGGTATATTTTGCATGATGTCACCATAGATTCTTGTGAATTGATTGCAACGTTGCTTTTTTATTGAAAACTTAGAATTTGTAAGATTCTAAGCTTGATAAGGAGGCAAACATTATCATGTTTCAGTGCAAGACAGGTTTTCTCTGAGGAAATGATGTAATATATAGATGTGATATAATATAAATCTATCATGCTGACTCGATGCGAGTTGGAGATTACTCGTTTTGACGAGTTTTGAACAGGTGAAAATTCTTTAACAATTTTAATTGCTGTTGATGATCAGACTTGAACTCGCACCCGTCTGCATAGAAGTCTAGCATTCTCCGAACTAGTCCATCATTGCTTCACTTGGATACTTCCGAACCTAGATAAGATGAATCTAGGTTGTAATAAATATGTCCTTTCACGGTCGCGATTTTATGTCCTGTGCCTTGTTGAGGATATTTTTATCGAAGGAAGAATCACAGTTGAATGTATAATCCTTATTTTTAAAAGGTAAAAATGTATAAACTTATCGAATTTAAAGCAAATGTTGAATATAAGTTGAATGTGTGTGTTATTATTATTATATACGCCGCGCCAGGTAAGGAGAGCGGGTTTTTTTAGAGCGGGGTCTGAAGGGGCCCGTTTATACGTATAGGCCCTACGACGTTCGCGGGCGGCAGGGCAGCCCGCTCATCAGGCGCACGCGGCGTTCGGCGCGGACACTAATATACTCCCGGATATATAATTCGAACCACCTCGCATTTTTGTTGTAAAGGGTTAGAATACAAAAATAGTGTTATCATCGAAGAAAAAGTTTTCCCCGGGTGTGCAAATCGAAATTCCTAAGAAGGACTTATGAAAAAAACGTTTAGTATACAAGTTTCAAAATTGCATAATAGTTTTTGATCAATTAAACATTGTTAGTAGCCTAGGGGCACTTAATATTGAAATTGCGTGCTGGCTCGAATTGTGTGTCCAAAAGTGTATATTTTTACAATCGTTCTTCAGAGTGTGCTCATTCAATACAATATCACACACACACACACATTGTTCACCCATATTACGCATATACAATTATTTTAAATTCAATTATGTTCAATTCAATGTATCGCTCCATATAAAGTATACAAAGACCTTAAATAACTTATAGGTTCTTATTATAATACCCTGTAAGGGCATAATAAATACTACATACGTACTATGTACTTATATTGTCTGCAATATGTAACCCGCTTCAGATTTTTCATATACTAACCTAAACCTAACAAAAACCCACAGGAGGTAAATGCAAACAGAAATGATTATTTAGATTTTTTGTCTTTCATTTAATACTTTGCCAAATTGACTGCCGGCGTTCTATACAATATGTAGGTATTCTACAACGCCTAGGAAATGTTTATAATAGTTAAAAAAAAACTATTATGTACGTTGCCTAAAGAAGCCCAGTATTGTATAGAGCGATTAGGTATTGTGTAGAATCCCTGAATTATACACATTACTGTTAACATATTATACTCATGATACGTACTCATACAGCAAAGAACTTTAGCAAAACATAACAAATAAATTACTTCCCGTATACATTTTCTGATAAGACGCTTACATTTTGTATGAGAACCAGAAAATGTTATAAGCAAAGATATCTATTAATATACTGTACGTTAAGACATTTTTGGTGTAGTCGAAGACCGTCCCTACGTTCAGCAGAGTAAACGTTACAAGTCGTTACTTGTAACGTCTACTTGTAAAAGTATCGATACTTTTTGTTATCGAGTACTTTTCCTTTCGATACCGATACTTTTGTAGTTAATATTTTTCATTCGATACTTTTCTGGTATTAGTATGTACTTTTTGACAAGTATCGTATCGTATCGTTTTGAATAATTCCTACATAGGACAAATAAGACGTAACATCACGCAAACCACCTATCGATTTTTTTTTAATGGCAAACCTTTATCACAAATGACATGGCTAAACAGTGTATGCCACTTTTTACCTCTTTTAAAAAATGATAATAAAGAAAAATAATTAGAAAAGTTTGAAAGGACATTTTCGTTTCGTATCGTTTCTCTGTGTCCGTCACGGCAGTGACGTCACATCACGATAAATTCTATTCTAGAGAAAAAAATCACTACGTTTTAAAGTAGATAGCAGTTTGGCCACTGAAAGTGAACTCAATGATTTTTGTAGCGGCAACAAAGCTAAAAATGTCATTATGTATGAGGATTCGCCATTGACTTACAAAGTCAATGGGATTCGCTCTGGGCATTTTGGAGGGAAAAGTGTCGTTTTTATTTTGACTTTCAATTATTTTGTAAAATCTAGTTTAAAGTGGAATAGGATAGTGCTATTGTACCTTAATCGAAGATTAAAACGCGAAATTATACGAATGTCAAACTAAAATACCCGTATCAGCCCGTTCTAAGGAATCCCGAGTCAATCCAAGCACGCCGCCTCAAATTGCCTATCCTCTTTGTGGTGGCCATATTTACAGAAACAATTAAACTTCATGTTTAGGCTGATGGCTTTGCCAAAGCCTTAATAAATAAATAAAAAAAAATCATTATGTATGAAGATTCGCTCTGGAACTTTTGGAGGGAAAAGTGTCGTTTTTATTTTGACTTTCAATTATTTTGTAAAATCTAGTTTAAAGTGGAATAGGATAGTGCTATTGTGCCTTAATCGAAGATTAAAACGCAAAATTATACGAATCTCGAACTAAAATACCCGTATCGGCCCGTTTTAAGGAATCCCGAGTCAATCCAAGCACGCCGCCTCAAATTGCCTATCCTCTTTGTGGCGGCCATATAATTACAGAAACAAAATTAAACTTCATGTTTAGGCTGATGGCTTTGCCAAAGCCTTAATAAATTAAAAAAAAAATCATTATGTATGACGTTTAATGGCGATCGGTTCGTAGATGGATTGTCATTATGTTTATCGTTTAGTTGTATTTATTTTGTAGATTTCTTTTCGAAACATGACTAAAACCGTGAAGAGTGCTGTTCGGCAGATTTTATTTACTATTAGTAAATACAAAGAAAAACACGACCAGTAAATCGCTGTATTGAAGAAAAAGTGTATTTACAGGTAGCCATTGTCGGTTTTATAGGTTAGTACGGCATAGTAATTTTGATGGTCAATAAAAATAATAATATACTTACTATAAATATATTTTGTTCACGATAATATTTATTTAGCAATAATTTACGTTATTTCTCTTTTACAGAAAATAATGGCTTGAATACTGAAGAAACTAGTGCAGCTTTGCAAAATCTCAATAAACTTAAAGAATTGGAAGTACAAAAGTACCTCACTGATAATAAATATTTCCTAGAAATTGCTTTAATGACTGGTGAGTATTAAACAATGTTTGGTGTTTTGAAATTGTATTACATAGCAAGTAGCTGCTACGATCCTGCATATTCATATTGCAACAGTTCATAATGATTTTACGAATCCGAGCTGACCAATAAATAAAATCATTGCATATCTATCTAACTATCCTATCATTGACATTTTTCTCACAACTGACCAAAAATTGGGTGCATCACACATTTCACAAAAATAAAGTACATAAATATTTATTTTATTGTCACAAACTATGGCCTCAGTTTTAGGTAACTGTATTTTTTTTCAGAAGTTAGTATCTCCACCTTAAAAAGAATTAACTATGAAGGCAAAGTAAACCAGGGAATATTGAGCACCCCCGCAAAAAAATGCCCTCACAAAGCGACAGAAATAAAATTAATGAATATTATACATTGTAATGAATATATTTAAGGGAAAGCATTGCATTCTCAGGGTGTAGAGAAACATAAGACGAGACAAACACCAGATATTATTGGTCAATGGATTTGTATTTAAGCAAAGTAAATACCAACGTTCTCTGCTCACGATACGACGACATCAAGGCTTGGCGACATAAGTTCTTGAGGATTAAAGCTTCAAAGCGTGAACAAGGTAAAAAAATGTATACCTAAGTGAGACATGTGTGCATCAAAATTATAAACCAAAAAAGTCATGGCAGGAGCCATCGACACAAGGTGTTATCGACAATCAGGAAAACGATTCCTTTTTGTCATCGTCTTGAACAATGATGGTTACCACAAGGTACAAATAAATAAGGCACCGAACACCAACAATTGGCTCCATTGCCACCAATTATTTTTGAAGAATGTCAATCAAGAGAAAAAGCTTCTGTGCTTGATTGATAAATATAAACCTGAGCCTGTCTATAAAGCTGACGAAATTCTAAAGGAACATGGTCATGAGGTGTTGAGGCCTCCACCTTATCATTGTTATCTCAATTGATCTTATTTCTATTGAGCTTATTTGGAGTACAGCAAAACGAAAAGTTGCCAGTAAAAATATAGCGAGATCGGCACCAGAAATTGAAAAATTAATAAAAGAATGCTTTAACAGCATAACTCGAGACGAATTGAACATGATGGTGAATCATACAATTCACATTGAAAATAGATACAGAGAAACCGACGGAGTTCTACTCCAGCGATTGAGATGAATCGATGAGAGCTGAGTATGTGGAGTCAGACTTTGATTACGACAGTGAAATATAAAAATTGTTACAATACCTATATTTATACTGAAGTAAGAAATTACTTTGAAACACCAGTCAGGGTCATTCACTCATTATAAAAAAAATCATATAGGTTCCTTAGTATAAGATGCTCATGAGTAGACCCTTTTACTGCCTTTTCAGTTATGTATTACACCATATATAATAGGATTTTACTCAGTATATAAAGGGTTTTTCAATAGGGACGCTCGAACTTTGAAAGTTGATACCGGCCATTTTGGAAAAGCGATAGCTGTCAAATTTGGCGGGAAAACGTATGTAATCGTGACATTTCACCATGGAGCGCTACACGCTTCAACAACGCGTAGAAATTGTTAAAATTTATTTTCAAAATCAGTGCTCTGTTCGCTTAACGTTCCATGCGTTGCGTCCAATTTATGGTATTCATGGTCGGTCTGCAGAATCCACAATCCGTCGTTTAATTAATAAATTTGAGACAACCGGGTCGGTTTTGGATGAAGCAGTGCCTGTACGTCAAAAGAACGCAAGATCGTCGGAAAATATTGTTGCTCTTCGAGATAGTGTGCGAGAAAACCCCAGACAGTCCATTCCGCGTCGTGCACAAGAGTTGGGTCTTTCTGCGACATCAACTTGGCGAATTTTGCGTCGAGACTTGGGTTTTCATCCATACAAAATTCAATTGACTCAAGAGCTAAAACCCAACGACCATAGACAGCGCCGTGAATTCGCGGATTGGGCCTTAGACCATTTTGCGGTTGACCCTGCTTTCGGGAAGAAAATCATCTTTAGTGATGAGGCTCATTTTTGGCTCAGTGTTTTTGTTAATAAACAAAATTGCCGGATTTGGAGCGAGGACAATCCACTGGAGGTTCATCAGGTGCCTTTACACTCCGAAAAAGTCACTGTTTGGTGTGGATTTTGGTCCGGCGGTATCATTGGCCCTTATTTCTTTGAAGATGCGCAAGGAGTCGCGTTCACTGTCAATGGCGACCGATATCGGACGATGATTAAAAATTATTTGTGGCCTAGAATCAATGGTATGGATCACACGAACATGTGGTTCCAGCAGGACGGCGCCACTTGCCATACTGCACGGGAAACATTAAATTTATTGGATGAGAAGTTCGAGGGCTTTGTTACCTCGCGTGGTGGTGACATTTACTGGCCACCGAGATCTTGTGATCTAACACCGCTCGATTACTTTTTGTGGGGCTACGTAAAATCTCGAGTCTATGCTGACAAACCACAGACAATTGCTGCCCTGAAGACCAACAAAACTCGCGTTCTTTATGAGATTGAGCCCCATTTATGCGAAAATGTCATCCAAAATTGGTCCACCAGGATACACCACCTTCAGCGGAGTCGCGGTGGCCATTTGGTTAAAATTATATTCCATACATAATGTCATCAAATGTTCTTTAAAATAAAATAAAAATTGTGGCAATATCACTTAAACAGGTTGTTTTATTCCATTTCAAAGTTCGAGCGCTCTTAATGAAAAACCCTTTATTAGACACTCGAGAGTAAAAATGCATTTATTATTGTCAATAAACGATTTGTTTATTTCTATTCATGTTTTACTTATATTTTACTTCCATACTGACCTGTGAAGTAGATTGCGATCAGCTGTGTAAATGTCGCCCCATGATAATGGTAAACGTCAATTCGTACGGTTCCAAATAGTATTAGGGGTTAAAGTATGAAATTGCCGTTTTATTGCAATAGGTTCTTTGAATTTTCATAGAATCTTCATGGTTTGAGGTTTTCGAATGAAACTTTTTTCAAATGGTTTCTGTGATTTTTTTTTTTTTTGAAACATTTGAATATCGACTTTCAATTGTTTTTGTTATTCAATT